CTACGTTTCCCACACACTTGAGAACTATAAACAGTGTCGTAAATTGGCTTAATATTAATCGGATTTTAACGTCTACTGTCTACTGCGAAGTGTAATTACCTTTATCCTATTACTAATAAATATCATCATCAATGTTATAAACAATTTTATATTCGTACTTTGACCACTGACCTCTATAAATGGACAGGCTACAAGCTGTGGTGTTTGTAGCTATTTTTCGTAGTAGTAGTAGGGCTTACAGTAAGAGTTGTAAGAGGATATGAAGATAAGAAGTAATAATAGAGATAGAATCGACTAGGAACAATAAATCGATATTAATTCTGAACAATTCAAAATCGAATACCTAATAGGCTATATGTAAATAAAAATGTAACTTTCTAAAATAAGGCTAGTAGTTTTAAATTTCAAATCTTTCCTCTTTATATTGTTAGTATTCGTTGCATTAAAATTAATTTGTGTTACCCTGTGTGTCACAGACTAACCGACAGACAGTGCGACAGTAATGTCGAGACGGCAGACGTTTATCAGCACGCGAACTCAACGTAAATTACTCTATTCTTAGTGAAGACTGCTCACGAAGCGATCTACAATGCCTTCACATTGATTACTATAGGCTGAGGATACACTGAGAGTAAAAATATGTATATTTTTTGATTAACATGTGGTAAATTGTACAGAATTATGACGGCTAATAGAAAATGTAGTAGTGTTTTTTGTGGTAAAACATTCTTTTTAGTTTGACTAACAGCAATTTATAAAGCTGTTCTGTCGAACAGTGTCCGCGTTAGCAAAGTTAAAGCAAGGTAAAAAGGGGGTGCAATAAAAATGTTCGGATTCTCTCAGGGCGCTAGTACCACTAAAATCGCTTTTGTACGTCGTACATTATCATAAAGTGAAAAAACTAATCTTTTCCAGCCTTAAGATCGGTTATTAGATTATTAATCACAGTTCGTTAAAATAGTTATCCTTAGTCCACCTACAAGCATAGACAGAGCTTTGATTCTGGTTTCATTTCAAATAAATAACCCTGTAATATCTATAATACTTATCTATCTATACTCGTATCTATACTATTATAATAAAGCGTAAACCCACACTTCTTTGTTGCCAAGATGTCAGCAGTTACAGCATATTTTTGAATAATTCTTTTTTTAATAAAATGTCCTACACTTACGTCACGCTTTAGATATATTTTTAAGCCATTAAACTTAGGGGGTAAATATTTGTGTTAAAAATCCTAATGTAGGAAAGAGACCATAAGTTGTTGCCAACATTAAGGATGACAGGTTGTCATGGTTTGTCATCATGTCATGTCATTTTAACATTTGCTATTGATAATATGACACATGTAAAGAATAAAATGAAATCTTCATAATTTTATGCGGATGAAGTCGCACGGGAACAGCTAGTATGTATATAACGCTATCAAACTGATCTGTTAGTCTCCGTGCTACCAAGCGTGTCGTTAGGTGGTTTTATTGTCTGGAATGACGTCATTCATACATAATTTATATCTTATCGCTTCGGATGTGGGCGACAAGTCGGGGCCTACACAGTACTGGACGTACAAAAAATTACTGTCTACCGTATTCAATGTATGAAATTAAAATAAAGTACAGGCGGGGAATCTGGCGGTGCCCCACCTAACAAGACTCATTTGAAAATTTTGTACGCATTGACACTACGCGGAATAAACAATAGGACGCAGCTCTAAATGTGTCTGTAGAAGAGGTCAGTCACGGCTCATTACTTTTATGATTTGTTTTGTTGTGGACAATTCACTGCCCTTTAATTGATTTTTGGAAGAGTTGGAGTTTGTCGCGTAGCAAGAAATTAAGTTTTTTTTTTCTGTAAGTGGAGCATCGCAGATTTCCACGACTGTACATTAAAAAAAATCATTGGAGAAATAACATATTAATACGTACATCTCTGTTTTATTAAAGATAATGGTAAGGACAGCAAAAATACATTTTTTTAACCGAAAAAAAGGGAAACTTGTAGAAATAAGTGTATTATAATAAACTATATAATACTTACTCGTATATATCTTTCTAAATCAGCAGGTATATCTTCTTCTAGTGAACTTCTTCTTTCCTTCTGTAATTCATCATCTGGATTCACATAATTATTTTCCAATACTTTTTCTGAGATCTGTACTTTCTTACTGTTGTACTTTTCTTTGTTTTCTTCTACATTCTACAACAAAAACACGATTTTAATCAAAATCTAGGTTAATTATAATTAAAAATATTAAACTAAAGAACTTTTTACGATCGTAGGTACGTTAGATATCAGAGCGACACGAATGACCTAAAAATAGGGATGTATTTCGATTTTTCGTATAACACACGGAAAGAGAATAACCTTTTAATGGACAATCAATACTTCTTGGCATTTATTTTGATGAAATACGTACTTGGATCGACAATCAAATAATAACATGCGCTAATTTGTTTTCGTTATTGTCTTTACTAATATCGTAATACTGGATCAAATAAAAAAAATTATTTCACCACTAAAAGCTACATTATCACTTAGTAATATAGGTTATACTTATTACGAGAATTTATTTTTAATTTCGCGCAGACGAAACCGCGAGATATTACTAGTATGTAATAAGGTCAGATCGAAAGTTTATACATCCTGTATAAAGAAGAAAATAAATGGAATGTACCCTGCTCTACTAAAGGTCTATATTCAAAGTGTAGCTACCCTTAATGCAGTAGGAATTTACATACACACTACAGAACTTTTGTTATGTTATTCTCTCATAGGTCTCTTGGAAAAAAATTACTGTTGTCAGTTAACTCTACTATTTTTTTTTTACTTTGTCAGTCCTCAAATTTTTTAGATTCCATGTTATTAATTACTTTTTTTATTTTATATGACAATTACTTTATTCTGACAAGCCACAAAAAATCAAGAAAATATCCCAGCCAGCTGTTGTATATTGGTTCATAGGTCAAATAAATCTAATATCATAAAGAGGAAAGATTTGTATTTTTGTATATATTTGATTCACATAAAAACAAATGGGTCGATTTTCAAAATTTTTTGCCATTAAAAAGGTTTTTTATCTGAGTAACATAGGCTATATTTCATTATTACTAATGTTTAGGAACCATAAACAATGAGAGTATTTTTGAATCCCGGTGTTAATCTTCCTAATATTATAAATGCGAAAGTTTAGATGGATGGATGGATGGATGGATGGATGGATGTTTGTTAGCGTTTGTAGCCTAAATGGCTGAATGGATCTCCATGAAATTTGGCACAGGTTTAGAGCATAGTCTTATATAAATTACAAATACCCTCATAATTCCAATATATTTAAAAACAAATTTACCAATTCTATTCATAATTACTACATACAAAGTTTTAAAATACATTTGATAATGAAAAGGTTTAAATTTAAAGTAATTTTTAAACAATCAACAATCAAAGATCAACAACAAAATTTTAAACAATCATAGTAAAGGGACCTGTACACCAGTTTGTTTTTGTGTCTTTTTTTTTGCTAGGATATTGGCGACAGCTTTTCTTTCTTCATTTACTTTTGTGTTGTTTACCACAATTTGATAATCAAAAATGCCTGATAGAAGATATTTTTAGGCTGTAGATTATTTTTCATAATTTTTAATTTCAAAACATTATAAGATTATTTAGATAAAAAAAGTTAGTTAAATAAAAATTGTCCGGTATTTCCGATATTTTACAACAAACTGTGTAATAAAAATTATACATACCTTATTCCAATACATGAATAGGTGCTTTTATAGCAAACAAATAGTAAATAAAATCTAAACTTGAAACGCACTATTTACAAAACAAACACGGTAAATGAACTACACGACTACATAACAGAACCGTCTCAGACGTACTGAAACGAAGTACGAACGTCTACTTCACCGGCTGACTGAGGCAACACAGAAAAATCGATATTAAACGGCGGTAAAAAGCAACAAGTAACTTTTACTTACGTTATCTAATGATCTTGATAAGCCTAAATCAATTTTCTCCCTCTCTATCTCATGTCTCTTCTCTGCAATTAGCCTTTCTAAATCATTCGATGATAACATTGTTGATCGGCGAAAGTTTTACAAGTTTGCAATGGCGGGAAATTAACGTAGGAACATAATAATTTTACGTCACTTTCGTGTAATATTTTGTCATGGTATATAACACTTTGAATTAAACATAGTTTTGTTAGTTAACGAATTAATTTTAATTTTACCTTAAATAAAACCGTTGAATTAAATTTTTTAAAATTTGATTTGACGTTTGACAGTGACAGTTTTTATTTTAAACTTTTAAATATGTCACAAGCAAAGGCACTGTGTTACACTAAAAAACTGCTACTGTTTTAATTTATCTTTTTAAAAACTCCCTTATAAAATTGACATTAATAAATAAACTACAATAACTGTGGAAATAATAAAGTTAAGTATTTTCATGATTATCGTTACAATTTATAATTGTTTTTAACATTGGATGAATCGATTACAATGCCCGTGTCTTAAAATACGATAAAAGTTTCCATATCCTTATCTTATCATTGACATTGTCTGAATTTGACAAATAAATTAAAGGTTATAATTTAAAATTCTTAAATAATATTTCGATTTGATATATCGTTTTATTTGTTTAAAACGTCAAACGTTAAATAATATGCGGTATATTAAATAAATTTATAGAATTTTTACTCGAAAGGCAACTTGTAAATATTGAGAAAAATAGAGGCGGTAAATCCACTGCATTTATATTTTCTGTTTGTTACTTATCATCATGGATAGTGATTTCGAAAACAAGATAAAAGAACTGAAAAGTAAAATTAAAAGCTATCCAGATTTTCCTAAAGAAGGAATTTTATTCTGGTAAGTTTATAAAAATTTCATATAAGAATATACTTTGAACTTTTATCCGTTAATTAAATATTTATTCGTTTTATTTACAGGGATATCTTTTCAGCCATATCAGATGGTTCAACCTGCAAGTTACTGCAGAGTTTACTTGTACAAACTGTTAAACAGAACTTTCCGGAGGTACAAGCTGTGATTGGTTTGGAGGCTAGAGGATTCCTCTTCTCATTCTCGATTGCAGCAGAACTTGGTATTGGCTGTTTACCTGTGAGGAAGAAGGGCAAGCTTCCCGGTGCAGTTGAAGCCTATAAATATGATTTAGAATATGGTTCGGTAAGTTATACAAAAATATTTAATACATACAGTCTAGCTGTAATACAAAACATGTAAAGAGAGTATCGCTCACTTTATTACATTACCTCCTACTATCTCTAGAAAATTAGTTATTTTTTGCAAAATGGTGAGGTGTTTTATTTCTTGTCTGACTGTAATTGATTTATTTGTAACATGAGAATTGTTTATCTTTGTTCTTAAATGTTTATCAACGAGAATATGAATAATATATCTTAAACAGACAAAAAATTTCATAGTATTATATTTGAAACTAATATTACCTTTAACCACTGTAATATGTTAGTATGGGCTACAGTTTTCTCAACCCCACAGTTATCATATTTGCATGGGGGAGGTCATTACTCCAGCCAATCCAGCTTGTTGACCCCAGCAACCCCTTTATGTTTATTTTGATAAACAAAGGTACTGCACTCTGTATTCAGTCATTCAGCAGTGTTTCACTATAATATGTTTTTAATTCCAGGATGTATTAGAGATACAAAAGAATGCAATCCGTCCAGGACTAAAATGCCTTATTGTTGATGATTTGATAGCAACAGGTGGTTCAGTAACTGCTACAGCGAATCTATTGAAGACATGTGGTGCGGAGGTGATTGGTTGTGTAGTCGTAATGGAGCTTGTCACATTAAATGGACGGAATAATATACCTGATGGTATACCTGTGTGTTCATTGATAAAATATGATTAGTTAAAAGATTATGCTTTACAAATTGATGCTACAGAATAAAATTACATTACAATGGAGATCTCATATAATGGAAGTGGATTTAACTCATAAAATGGATACAAAGATCCCATCAGTCACTTTATAATGTAGAATTCCCATATAACATGTATATTCACCAGAATGAGATCTCCATATGACATGTAACTATTTGTTGGAATAGGGTGACCATGAAAAATGTAACTTTATTCATCAGTGGAGTCAAAATAATATTAGGCACTATTACTAAGACAATAAGTAGCAAACATTGGCACCAAATAGTTCACTGGTGCTGTTATTTCTGTTTTGTAAGAGTTTTTTTTATTAATAACTATATAAACAAAACAGGACAGCCCATGTGAATTTAAATCATAGCCCCAATATCAATAAGCTGAGAGTACAAAGTAAAAGATTTATTTTATGCCTATTCCAAAAACTATAGACTATTACTTTAATTTTAATATCATAATTTTGACTTTTAATATTGTTTTCAAAAATACTCAGTAAATGTTTTTCAAATTAGCAATAAAAATTAACGAAAAGGAATACAACATGTCAATTTTATTAAGATAATGAAAGAAATGGTTTTGTAATGTTTCTGCAGTGAAAACGCACGGTGAGATGTAAATTTGTCAATTTCGAGATTGAAAAAATCCTGAACCAATACAGTTTTATATTAAATTATGCTTAACGTTTGACATATCAGTATATTATTATTTTACATTATACATATTTGATATTAATAATTTTTGATGATTGTATATTTTACAATTTAGCGCAAGTAAAAAACTTTATTTAGTCTTACCAAGAATATAAAATCCCATTTTATTACATCACTTTCTAACGTAAAAATCGTTGCAGTTTTCCGCAATATTTGGAGAGTTTTATATTTCTGGTCAGACTATAAATGCCTTATGTAATATCACAATTTTATTTTTATTATGCGTTTTTACTATTTTTTTATTGAATTTTATAAGACAAATGCTCAATTTATAGCTGATTTTAATTCACCATTCCTTATTGACAAGGTATTTTATAATAATAAAGGGAAAAATAATCACATTTTGTTTTATTTTACATTTTTAATAAATATAAATGTAACATAGTTTAAATTATTAAAATTAGTAATAAAAGATGTGCAAAACACTAAACAATTGCTGCAATTAAAAAAAATATATATTATTGAGGTGGAACTAACGATTTTTCTGGCTTTTTAGGTTCAGTTTTTTCTTTTCTGTCAATTAAAGGTGCACTTGTGGTACTTAAGTCATTCTTATTATTTTGCTCTTCAATAGTCGACGTTCCTTTAATGTTTTTAATTTCTCTTGTGAATGTTCCAGGCAGATTTTTAAGGTCACCATTTTGTGTGTCGTTTTCTTCTATTTTCGGGTTTATTTCACTTTTAGTTGCATTTTCATTATTGGCAGTTGTTGGTGCTTTTTCTTCTTTCTTGTTATCTTTGATGGTAGAAATTAATGATTGGTATTCTACAGTTACTTTTTCGTCTGACTTCTTTGCCTTTTCGATTTCAATCCCAGTAGCATCTGTTGTTGAAGATGACTTCTCGTCATTATGTGATTTTTTAATATCTACGTCACGAGCGATTCTTTCCTTTTCGTTAGGAACATCTTTAAGCTGTGTTTTAACTTCAGGAGTTGATTTAAGTAGAATAGGCACTGGAACTGGTGTTTTAGCAGTCGATACTTTTTCATTGCTTTCTTTATTATCGGGTTTTGTAGTTGAAGTACTCAGATCGTTGATTTTTTCTTTATTATCCACAGTACCTCTAATGTTTCTTTGATTGTCTTTATTTTCTGATTTATCTGCTTTTTCAGATTCGTGTTTGATTTCCTTTTCAGAAGCTTCGACTGGCGCTTTAAATCCGTTTAATTCGGGTTTTAATGTCGTTGAAGAAGGAGAATCTTTTATGTTAACAGTTGGTAATACTGCTGGTTGTTCTTTATTTTTGTCAGTTGTATCACGTGTAATCCTTTTGTTTGCTGTGATTTCTTCAGAAGCGCTTTTCTTGTTTGTATTAATATGTAATTCTGAATTAATGTCAGTATCAACTTGCTTACCTGCAGTGTTTTCTGGCTTGGTTGTAGTTTGATCGCTTGCAATTATTCTTGGAATGACTGGAGTACTAGATTGTGCTGTATTGATGTTCGTTGATGCAATTGTTGAAACTTTGTTAATTTCCGTAGATGTTTCACGTTTTGAAGCAGAGGAAGGATTGCGAGCAAATCTATCGGGAACATGTCGCCCACTGAATCTATGATTGTGGTTATGGTGTTCGTGTATTGTTTTTTCTTCAACTTTATCGACTTGTACGTGTTCTTTGTTTTGTTTGTCTTCTGTTAGAACTGCTGGATTATTTTCTATGTGTGTTGCTTCACTTGGGACTTTGGTTGTTATAGAACCTTGGTTTCTGGATGCTGCAGGAGGTAATGGATGCTCTGTACTTTCCACTGCCGGAGCATTTTGGTTAACTTCACGGGCATGTCTCTTGTGACCTTCTACAACAGGCGATTGCGCGTTTACAGGTACATTGGGAGTCACTTCTCGAACGTTAAATTGAGAATAGTTAATATTCGTTTGTTTCTCGTTCTTATCGAAATTTGTTTGCTTTTTATTTTCTTCGATGTTACGGGTTTCTTGATTGTGCTTTTCTTCTGCTATTTTGAATTCCGTCGTGGGAATACTTCTTGCAGTTGATTCGGGCATTTTAGGTGCTTCTTGTAAATGTATATGATGGTTAGTTATACCTTGCTCGAGTACTTTATCTTCTCTTTTGTCTTTATTCGTTGCTGGGATGGCTGTTGATTTCAATTCAGGCACTTCTGTGGTAACATCAGTAAAAGAATGTGGGTTGAGTTGCTTATTTAATTTATATTTTTCTTCGGCATCACGGTTTTGTCTCTTATTTTCTTTTAAAGAGTCTTGAGGTTGTTCAGAAGTTGAGGGTAATTCATCTTTAGTTAAACTTATAGGTACAATTGGAACTGCGTTAATTGGTTTCTTTTCCTCAGTGGGTTTCGCTGGGTTTGATTCTTGTTTGGTTGCGTCGTGACTTGTTGATGCCTCGCTGTCTGAATTTGCATACACTTCAATATGGAAATCATATCCTCTCAGTGCTGTAGGACTTTTCAATTCTATAGTCACATTTCGCTGACCGATACCACCTTCAACTATTTTCGCTTCTCCATCTTTTTCTTCTCTCAAATCTGTTACAAGGATTTTATTGATTTTCGCGCCTTCGTCTCCAGTTATAGTGATATTGTCCACTTGACGCCATATCGCTGGATTTGCTTTTTTGTTTTCGTCGAATATTTTCTTAGTAGTAGTTCCGAAATCATCGGATCCTTCAGAGAGATCCTTTGACTGAACTATAGTCACAACCGTAAGCAAGAACCAGATCTTTCTACCCATGGTGTCGGATTCAAACTGTGATGATTATGAAAATCTCAAAGCTTTTATACCACAAACAGATTGAGGAAAATATTTCGAATGAAATCACAACAAAACGAGCTGCCTTCGTAATATTTTTTTATTAGCTCACGTTAACCTCTTCCTGCAGGAAAATTATGGCTTTAAACTGTCATTGAATTAAAGTAAGACGTGACTAACGCATTGTTATGGCGAGTATTCGAATTTAGATGTGAGTACACGGTACGGATTGAAAATTAGATTAACATATAAATTTATAGTCGTACAAATCTTAGTATACTGAATCTTTATTAACAACATCGAATATAAAAAATATAAAAATAGACCGATGGATGTTTGTTAGCAGGTATTTAATTACAAAATGGCCATACGTATTTGTACGAACTTTGACACAAAGACTGTCTAGTTTTTTTAATGACGCAAAAGTCGCGGGCACAACTTAGTCAAATGAAAACTGTAAACAAAATAAATCCATTTTCCATATTCGCTCAGCTTAAAGTTTAACGTCATGAATAATTGTGTATCATTTGGATCGTAATCTAATATGTGCATTTTTAGTTTTTTCCTCAATAAGACAGATGTGAGATAAATCGTCAAGTAAATCTTCATAGAGTATGGATAGAATAACAATAAGTTTCGATCACGTAGGCTTCCAATAGTTTAATCGATATCCAGAGTATTTCTACAAACAAATATACATAACACTATCATACCAATATTATAAATATAAAAGTTTAGATGGATGTTTGTTAGAGTTTGTAGCCTAAACGGCTGAACGGTTTTCGATGAAATTTGGTATGGATGTAGAGGTTAGTCTGGAAGAACACATAGGCTAATTAGTTTTGTTTTTTTTTTAAATTCCAAGCGGACGGAGACGCGGGCGAAAGCTAGTATTGAAATAATAGACGTATGTACATAAAATCATTAAATGTTCACTAAGGGAGTTTCTAAGTGTTTTAATTACGTGAAATCAGCACGAATAAGACGTCATTATTTTTATGATCTCCATGTGTAGTTTTTTTATGAAAAATAGTAGTAGATTTTTTACATTGACCAATTTCTTCTGCCATGCCAAATAAGTCTATTGGTTACGGTTTACAATCAATGGCGGGATTTGAACCTTCGATTACGTGACGGAAATCTATTACCATTAGGGTATTGGCGTCCTTTTATAATTATTGTTTTTTTTTTCCTTTAAACTCTATTACAAACTAACCGATGATTGCAACCGAGTTAACATAGACACCCCAATTGTATTTATCTGTACAGATAAAATATGAGCATATACTTACAGAAAATGAATTTTTGTTTCTATTTAAAAATTACAACAAAAACATTTAATTTAATTAAGAACCAAAATCATTTAAAATAATCTTTCTTGAAGCACGGACATTTCTCCGCCATTTTGATGCCTTTCGCCATCTGCTTCATAAACGGATGTATATGATCACTGAAGAATGGTCTGGAATAACAACATCCATGTGTTTTACATTTAATCTAAGCAAATAAAATATCGTAAACACTATCTAATAATACGCAACATATTTAAAAATAAAATAACATTTAATCCTAATCAACACTACAATACAATTATAAATAAGAAAAAAAAGTAATTAAATAGAAAAAAATTGTAATACTTCATAACAATACTAATATTATAAATGCGAAAGTTTAGATGGATGGATGTTTGTTAGAGTTTGTAGCCTAAACGGCTAAACGGATTTCGCCGAAATTTGGTATAGATGTGGTAGATAGTCTGGAAGAACACAAACTATTCACTTTTGTTTTTTTAATTCCACGCGGATGGACTCGCGGGCGACAGCTAGTAATTTTATAAATACGAAAGTTTAGATGGAAGGATGTTTGTTAGAATTTGTAGCCTAAACTGATAAACGGATCTCGATGAAATTTGGCATAGATGTAGAATATATTCTGGAAGAATACATATGCTACTTGTTTTTATGTTTTTAACTTCCCGCAGACGGAATCACGGGCAAAAGCTATATGTTTGTACTGCATACTTAATTTATTTTTTAGATTAAATGTAGATTATTCCATATTTAAATGTGTTATTTAATACAATTTCTTAGTTAGTTAGTTTCCTCTTATCGTTATCAAGGTATCTTGTAAGACAAGAGCAATCTTTTATTTGCCGGAACAAACTGAGGTCGTCTCGTTTCGCAAACCGGAACAATTTATGACAAATAATGGGTTGACTCACGACAACTCCATTGTTGTATTGCCAGTTTATTATTCTAGTTTATCTTAATAAGCTTATATGGATATCAATCCGAGGACATATCATGAAAATTCGTGAGAATGTTTCATAACATCATCGACAAAATCTCGTACAAATTTTGCCAATGATGGTAAGAATAAGGTGTCACAAATGATATGAAAATATTCAAAATAGACGTCTTGATTGAGAATTCAGATGACAATAGACTTCGGTATTAAGAGATTATTGACAAATCATCAAAAGTACTATTCTAATAAAGCGAGAAATTTCTATTAAGAGTTACCTAAAAAAAATTATTAAAATCAATTTACCCGAATAACAAGCATTTCAAAATAATTATTTAGAGTAATTTGGTAATTAAATAGGTAAATAGTTACAATCTAGCAACACTAACCTTGTCATTTTAAAGGTTACAAAAGACGTTAGTAAAGAGAATTTATATCCACAACAAGGTAAACAGTTGATCTACTTATATTGAGCAAGGCGTGTCTATTCTTAGTTTAAAATCTATTTCTCATCTTTAGTATTAAAGCATGAAACGTAAATATAGAATTACATAATCTGTGGTATAAATATATTTTTTTTATCACAGATTAACAAATTAATTAGCATTTTAATGGGATATTGCGATATTTTTAAAATTACTATAAAGTCGATTTAACATTGAAGCTTGAAGAACATATCAGGGTTGTCAGTTTTAAAACCAGGTACCTACTATAAAAGATTTTTTTGGTTCGATTTCTATTTGCTTTACTGTAAACTTTTAACATCAAATTACGTCTAAAATAATAATTTTCAACTATAAAACATTTGAATATTGTTTCAAAGTTCCATACGCAGACCTCAAACTTTCGACCTTTGATACTTAGAAGATAAGGTCACGTTTGTTGTTTATGATTTCTTATCACAAATTTATGTACAACATAATTTACTTATACTAAGAATTATTGTCAAACTTATGTCTATAGTGTTTTTTTTATATAAAAAGGGGGGCAAACGAGCGGCGTGAACACCAAGGTGGTCAACGACGCCCATGGACATTCAAAATAACCAAGAATACGAACGAGGGATCGCTTTAATCGCTTTTATTTCATCGATTTCATAAATAACCACAGAAACTAGTTTTATATTTTACTGAAATGTGGCGATAGATTTTTAATTACAACCTAAAATCTAGACTTTTTAACTGATTAAGATGTCATTTAATATGAATTATTTTTTAGTTTCATAAAAATTTGACAATTATGATCAAGTTGACAGTTCTCTTTGACAAGTGTCAAAAAACTGTCAAGTGTATTATTTAATGTCAACTCACCGACAAAGCATCTTTTCAATCTCGTCTTCGTATTCTTTAGTAGCGATCGCGTATTTCTTTACTTGGTCTAATTCTTCTTGTTTTGCTCTCTCCTATAATAAATAGAAGGGACAAGTTAAAACATTGTCTACGAAATTAAGCATTAAATGCATGCAGTAAGGAACATTATTGAATACACTTTTTTATTCTAAATTAGGCAAATAAAAATCTCAAGTCAAGATTAGATAATTCTTTTTTTAATTTCGGTTTTTAGTTATTGTCATCTAAACCAATATTATAAAGAGGAAACTTTTGTATTCTTGGATATTTTCATGTTTTTGATTTATGTAAAAACTACTGGGCCGAATTTAAAAATTCTTTCATCAGTAGAAGTTAATTTATCTGTGATACATAGACTACATTTTTTAACTTCCTGCGGACCAAGTCGCGAGCAACAGCTAGTAGAGAATAAATATAACGGCGATACTAAAGTAAAACTCATTAACATGTGTAAATAATTGTTCCATGAAATATATAATAATTTTTTATTTATACAAAAGAAATATAGCCTATGTTACTCAATGATAACGTAGCTTTTTAAAGATGAAAGAATTTTTTATATTGAGCCGATAGATTTTGAGTTATTTCGATACATACAAAAATACAAATCTTTCCTCTTTATATTAGTATAGACATTTAGAACTGTAAAATAAATACCTTTAATATATTATTATATTCCATTTGTTTCACTAAATTCTGTTGATGGTCTTTCCGAACTTTCGCGTCCATCTTGTCTCTGTACTCGACCAACTTGTCCAGTTGCTCTCGTAACTGTCTGTGATACTCATCTTCTTCTTCTATTCTCTTCTTTAATACTTTCTTCTCTTCTTCTCGTTCTTTCATTTGTTCTATCATCCCTTTGCGTACTTCCTAATTAACAAAAAAAATAATTAAAACTCCCTTGTTTGAACTATTATTAATAAAAACTGTATAAAATAAAAAATAGGAAATTAAGGCTGTAAATATATTACAAGAGATTTCAAATTCACTTTCCTATTCACTTCTGTGAAAATGAATTAGCAAGAGAGAATGTATATGAAAAAGTTCCCCTTTCTATCACTTCCTTATATAAATATTTCCCTTTCCCATACATAATAAAGGTATAGATTATGCATTTGCATTTAATTTACATATAAGTATGACCATTACATTTTACTAGTCTTACTAATATTATAAATGCATAAGTTTAGATGGATGCATTTTTATTAGAAGGTATCTCCTACTTCTGAACAGATCTCTATGAAATTTGTCATAGATGTAGAGGATAGTCTGGAAGAACACAGACTATTCACTATTCTTATTTTTTTTAATGCAGTCGCAAGTAAAATTTATTCATAAACTAGTAGCGCTGGATTGCCAACTTTTACTTAAAAAATCGTATATAAGACTGTATTTTAGTTAGTATGTGAGAATCACCCGCGAGGTTTCCTTTGCCCATTTGAGATATCTACAGCTGACTTCATCTTTCTTCTTCTGCGTAAGTCGCGCATCTTCTTTCCTGATCACGTCATCCTCTATATCCATGTCTACGAACTTCTTTTTCATTTCTAGAAGCCTTCTGTTGCATTCGTCCAATTCACGCTAAAATATCCCAGGGAAATGTAGATAAGAAATGGAGACAGACAAAAACATCGATGCTTCTTTTCAGAAATATTGGAATTCTATATGTTATTGGACTTCTCTATGTTCTTCATAAGCTTAAGAAATATTTTTCTAAAAGTAATTGGATAGAAATAAGGGTTTTTGAAATAATATACCCACTTGTTGGTATTCAGTACTTCAAAGCCAATGAAATCATAAAATAAATAAACTCACTCTCTATTGCGTGAGTTTAGTTATATTTATTACCCCACTTCCCATCCCTCAGATCTAGCCCAGATTATCCACGTGTGACGCCTATCACTACTCACCTCTTTTCTCCTTCTTAACTCGATCATGGCCATATCCCCAGCCAGTCCCTGGTGAGTGAGAGAATTCCAAGCATCTGACACCATCTTCTCTTCTTCACTTTCTCTCGCCAACCTCTCCTGATTCAGTCTCAAGAATCTATTACTATCTTCTGCTACTTGCTTCGCTTTATCTCTACGAGCTTGTTCCGCTATAAAAGTATAAATATAAATAACTAATTAAAATACGGTAGATTTCCGCTGTCTAAAAATCTGAACAATAACATATCCCTCATAGAAATCTTCCTTACCTCATCTTCATTTCTTAGAATGGTACATTGAAAAATTTATACAGCTTTAAAAAATATGTCAACTTATAAAATATGTATTACGATTATGGTATTTAATACTGTAAAGAGGAATTAGTAACCTCTACCTACCCCTCCGGCACAACCTATCCCAGGTTATTAAACAGAGAGAAAGATATTTAAATACGAGTAACATCATAAATCACATTTCATATCTGTTTTTGAAGAAAATGAGAAGGAAGGCATATTCCGTACAGTTTCGAAAAAAAAAAATTGAGCAAGGAGTCAACTTACCATCTTCTTCTTTCTTATTCTCCGCATCCCAGATAGCCTTGAATCTTAAACTCTCCTGTCGCAACATTTCTCTCTCATTCTCCCTCTGCCTGCGTCTCTGTTCCAGCTGGTAGTCGGAGTACTGCTTGCACTCCATGTCCCTTCTGTACCTCTCTATAGCGTCGTATTCCATACGAGCCGCCTAAAAGAGAAACCGAAATACATCGGTTATAAAATCGCCATTATTAATCGCTTTTAGGCAATAACTTATAATAAAAATAGCCTATAACACTCAGTAGTAATGTATCTTTCTAATGGTAAAATAATTTTTGAAATCGGCTAAGTAGTTTTTGAGTTCATTCGTTACATACATGAATAAAAATCTTAATACTAGCACAAATCAGTTCATTTTAAGTAAACATCGGTATCGTAAATGTTATTTGTAAAAAGAGTAGTATGAGTTTTTAAGACAACTAATCAGAATTTAGAATAAAGCGAACACAAGGTTGTGTCATTTTACCCGATTGAAAAAAGGGTAGACAGAGCTAGAGGTTAAACGACTGGACCAAGTTTGACCAATGAGGTATCATTTGTTTTCTTTTTTGTCTGAAGTATCATAAATGGTTGGTCTCCCGATTAATTTATAACTATGTCTCATATGTGTTACATTTACCAATGCATCAGCTTCCTTCATGGTGACTTCATGCCACATTTTATCAAACTCGATGTCAGCCATTTTGCGCGCTTGTTTCTCTTTCATTTGGTACAATTGTATTTGCTGGGCTTCCATTGCTCGCAACTTTAGGATACACGGCAATACGTGAACGCATTTAGAACTGTTGAAGGTAAATTATTTTTAAATCGTTTTATACCTATAAACGATTATGACATAATTTTGATTATCTGTTATTGGAAATTAGTTTTTTAATATCTTGTTTTAACCGTGTATTAAAAAAAATGTTTGGATAGATTATTGCGTTTTATAAGTAAATATGGTTTTCTCATCACGTTCCTTTCAACCGATGACTCGTGGGACTTAAGTCTATGTCTTATAAAATATGTGACAGCAATATTTATGCTTCATTTGTGTGATCATGTTAAAGAAATCAATAAGGAAAATGAGTTAAAAAATATAAATACATTGGTAGTTTAAATACCATTAGTTTGAACTAGGGAAACACTAAATACTTTTATTTCATGACGAAAATGCTTATACTAGGTATGTCGTTTATGAACATTATTAGTTTTTTTTTTAAATCTTTGTTATTAGCAAATCAATTATACGCCATATCATTAACAGACTATTAGTTCTAAAAAAATAATATATAATCGTTAAAAATCATTAAGTACACTTTTTTCTTCATTACTAAATGTATTTGAATTTGGCCTAAAAAAATCAAACCGTTTAAAATACTAACAGGGGCGTATCTTTATATTTCTCCGCATGTTCCTTCTTTCTCTTTTCAAGTAAGAACCGCAGCCGCTCTTTCTTGTCCTGCCATACAAGCTCCGCGCCCGCCTGCGCTTGCGCCACAAACTTACGAGTGTTCTCTTCTTCTTCGCGTGCGAATAATTCCTTCAATCTAAATAAGGCGGCGGGCAAAGGGTTAATAGTTGATTAACCATTTGACCGCCGGAAAGAGATAAAATAAATGGCTTATTCCGTTTATCTAACTAAATTTCCCTAACCAGTTAGATAAAAAGATTTTTTTTCCATTTTCGTAACCAGTCAAGTTTTTGTTCTAGGGTTGGTACATTCTGCTTGCTTCATGCCACTATTCCCATGTTAAAAAGATCAACTGTCGATTTCAACACCAAATAGCGAGCGCAATTTAATATCTATCTATTGACATTTTACGTTTGGTCGCGATTTTTTGTTTAAAGCTCCGGAATTCATCTTGCCAATTCCACAAATTTTATAATTTATTTTTAAATACCATAAGGCGACAAACGACCTAAGTTGAACCTCTGGCACGCTAAAATGCAAGTGTCCGGATACCAAACCGCTGATACTACTTTGTCTGAAACCGCACGGCCAATTTAACTCTCGTGTACACGCCATTATTTGAAATTTGAAGGAAAAGTAATACTTTACTTAATAAAAGTAGTAATAGATGGCCCGAAAAACAAAAAAGTATACGCACCCTACCGGTTCCGAAAACGGAAAAAAATTTCTTATTACAAATAAACATAGCTTCATTTTAGTTGTTTTCTTTTACTAAATTTTGAAAATATAACCTCAAATTTTATCAGTGGCGGTTAATTTATTTAGTGCAGTAATTATACTACGTGATATATTCGAGAAAAGTCTATTTTCTTGTGTGTTAAATAGAAAATCATGTTTTATTAAAATTTGATAAACAACAGAACCTTTCCTTCTTTACTTCTAAATCCTTTTGATACGAATCCAAGCAAAGATCGACACGCCGTGCTACGTCATTGATCAGAGATCTGTGGAATTAAAATCCAATAATTTCAGTACCAGTCTCACGTGGTTACTTGAATACAAAAACATAATGGCATTAAACGTACTAATGCTGGTATAGACTTAATCAAATATCTTAACAGTTCAGAACATCTCACAAGTTACTGCTGAACACAATTTACACTGTATAAAGGCGTAAATAAAATACGAGCGGCGAACACTGCGAAATAGTTTAACTTGAACTAAAAAGATATTTGAAAAAAATTATTAGAACTTATCTGATTGGTATCTTTGAAATAATTAAAGTAATTAAATCCAACTAAGAAATAAATTTTACATAATTTTACATATATAATATACAATAAAAGTTTGGATGAATGGATGTTAGTTTGTAATTCCGCGCGTACGGAGTCGCGGGCGTAGGCTAGTTCGTATATTTTTGTAGATAAATTAATCTAACGTATCAATACCTGCGATCACATCTCATGAAAAACTCATTGATAGATTGATCTTTGGCCTCTTTAGCTTTGTTCTCAGCTCCTTTACGTTGCTCCTCTTCTAACGCACGAAGTTTGCGCACAAACTTCACGTAGCGGAAGGTTGAGTTCAACACGCGTGATGTCTAATACCGAAAAGGTAAAATTAATATTGCAAATACAGATAAACTATAAACTTAGGACTTTGTAGTTTTATACAAAATCAATTTAATTACATATATAAATTTTACAAGGTAGTTTGAATAGAATATTTAGGTCCTGTCCCACCACTGTCTGATAGAGGCTCAGATAGCTTCAGATTCAGATATTCAGGCTGATAGGGATGTGTTACAGTTTATATATTATGTCGAAGCTTCGTAGGGAAAAGGGCTGGATGACATAGTATGAAAACATGGATATAAATTAAAAATAAAATACTTACATAGTAACATTCTGGTACTCCTCTTGGTCCGACGCCATCTTTGGGCACTTTTTGTCGTGGTATATTTACTTCACACATTTTCTTGTTAGATAAATAACATTAATTTATAAATAAAAATATTTTATCAAATTGTAAATATTCTTTGACATATGTCAGGTCCTCTTTTTCTTAGAAAATATGTCTTTCTTTCAAAACAAAGTTGACAGCTATAAATCTTTTTTTTTATCAAGCGATAGTTTAATGGCTTTCTTCCAAAGAGAAATTTTGATTTTTAATTTGGAACAGGCGTTTTTTTTTTTCAAATAAAAGAATTCATGATTTTAAATTTTTTAATCAACCTTATAAAATAAAAGAGATCCAAAAAAACAAAACGTATCAAGTCAATCCAAAAAAAAAACAAAACTGTCAGTCAACTTTTTTACTGTTTAACTAAACTAAAACTATTGATAGCAAAAAGTTAACTTTAAATTAACCGTTGATTCGTATTTCTAAACAAAAAAAATGGCACAGGAATGTTATGTCCTTTGTTATTTATGAAATTGTAAATTATGAAACAATAAAAGAGTAAATTGCAAAGACTCATTTAGCTCAAAAAGATATGAAACTATTCTAAGTCTAAATCTTAATAATCAACTAATTAGGCAAAAAAAAAAAACGTTTTCTACAAAACTATATAAACCAGTACTGTGGAATTCTACTGCTGAACTGCCTGATGGACCTAGCAAGAAAATTTTCAAGAAAGTTTTCGTAACATAATGTTGTTAAGTTTGGTATGAGATTTGTCGGTGTATTTTACGATAGAGCCGCATAAATCTAATACAAAAATAATAATATCGATAACGTTACGAATAATTTTCGTGCTAGGTTCCATGTAGGTTTCTTTCTTTTTTTTTATTCAAAGAGAATGACAACATGTATAAGGCAATGGAAAATCGCAAAAAAAGGAACAAAAATAGAAAAAATCAACATTAAATAGATCTCCGATAAACAAAAAAAAAACATGAACGATCTTTCTTAAATATATTCGAATCTTAATTATATTCAAATTACAAGAAATACGTAGAATTTCTACCTATATTGTACATACCAGGGGCAAAAAAAAGAAACAAAAAACGGCAAAAAAACAAAACCTTTTCGATCTTACGTAATTAACTTACTGTACTAAATCAACATGAAACAAATTATAAAATAAAAAAAAAGACTTCATATACCCTGAGTATATATGTTTGAAGACTAATTTCAACATAATAACTTAAAGCTTACATTATTTCAGTCCAGCGATTATATCCAGTACAAGACCGGAAAACTGTAAACTCACACTGGAATGCTGAATCAATATAGTATTTGCTTATAGGGCGGGTTTACAACTATCCAGTTAAAATCAAGCGCTGGAATAATTATTGGACTGGAATTATGTAAACTGGACGCTGAATATTACACCTCTAAGTTTCACACCTTTTTATAACACTGGCACAAATACTTAACACTTTAAATGCCACCGATGCGACCTGCGCTTTTACCGTAGAATTTCAGGCCCGTAACAAATTGACATATTGTCATATCCTTTTATTATTAAAATAGACTTCAATATGCATGAAAAAGTGAAATTTTACGATAATTTGTATGTGAAAATCTAAATGGCATTGAAGGTGTGATAGAACCAAATGACCTGTTTTTACTCTTTGTATATAATCTAAATAATGGTAACAAAGAAATGTTTTTTCTTTTTAATGTTTTTTTTTTAATTAACATATTGTCATTTTAACTGGGAATATAAAAACTACATAGTTTAATATAAAAATACTATAAAATAGAGATCCATATTTTTATAAACTTTATATTAGGTAACTTTGTTAATTTATAACAACCTTTTCATCACTTGTAAAACAACAAAAATATAGAAAATTCTAATTATCTAACATTTAAGTTACCCATAACTTAAAGTTAATAAAGAATTTATAGTTTTGCAACAAATAACATTTTGGTAACATACCAAAATATAATACCATACCATATAACTGTACTAATTGACTACTCAGTGCCGATTAATAAATTAAACTGCCACTCAGTGTAGGCATCCCTGAGAGATCATTAAATGGCTGAATTTGCTAGTTATTTTTTTTTAATATATGTTGCATTAAATTATGAGTTAACCAATTGTTACTTACTAGTTATTGGAGGTTTTTAGTAATGGTTTATGAAACACTAACAAAAAATGTCAAATTAACATTATTTAATTCTGGTTGTCCAACAATTACTTTGCTTAAAGAACTGTTAACTAACTCTCTGTTAATTAATTTCAGATTAGCACTGTTTGGTAGTAAATTTAGTTTTTCTAATTTAATCTTTAAGCCACTGTTTTCATTGTAATAAGGGAGGTTAGTGGAAAAAGGTTCTATTTCACCTTCCCAGGAATGCGGCT